CAACATGGAGCAGACATGTTGTTAAAGGATTTGTCAATTCAATCATTTTTCAGTGCAGAAATACATCTTGAAGTAAAAATAGAAATATATGTACCAAAAAGTTGCTGAAACAATTTCTTTTGGCCTGAGACCAAAGATGCAAAGTTCCTGCTGGAAAGAGGAATTCCTCTCTTAGCATAAAAACAAGACAAATCTAATTGTATGTTAAACTTCACTCAGTATCTGCGATACGACGACCCTCCTCCAGAAAACTGCAGAGCCTCAACAGTCATGGCCTAGTATGACTGATATCGGGAGAGGCTTTAGCTCAGAAGAAAATCTTTTTTGCTATGGGACTTTGTGGATGGAAACAGAATTTGGTAGGGAAATAGGAAAAAAAAGACAGTGATGACAGTCACTGTTTTGGTTTGCTGCAACAGGGACATGGCTGTCTCTGCTGCTATTCTTCTGTATGCAGAAACGTGGGCTTCGTACTCAAGAGAGAAGGCAGAACAGACACAATTAACTTTTCACATCTCCAGGAGTATGAGAAAGCAAATCAAAAAATTTCTGGTGCATTCACTGCTGAATGGCCGCACTGCCAGGTCAATGGGCGGAGGCAGGGCACCCCACACCCTGTTTAAAGAATTGCCCTACACTGAGTGTCATCTCAGGCTGATAACCACAGAGACCTCTTCAGAACTGCAGAAGTTGTTTGAGAACCACTAGGAATGACTGCAATCCAGGCCCAAACTCTGAAGGCCAATTCTAAACCACTTACATTTTAAATCACTTCTGCTTAGGACCAGAGGCAATGGACACAAGTTGGATGCTGGGAAATTTCAATTCGATACCTGGAAAAATTATTTCAACTGCTACTGGAACACATTGTTTGGAGAGGTGTTGGCATCTCCAGCCTCGAATGTGTTTGAAACTTGACCTGAGACATCTCTGAGAGCAACCTGCTCTACTTAGACTTGCTTTGAGGAGGAGGTTGGAGCAGATGACCTCTAGAGGTTCCTTCCAACCTGAATTGTCCTATGATTCTATGATATGTTGAAAAATTAACTGTAAGGCCTGGACTATCCTGGAGTTCAAAAGTGCAAGGAAGTTTGACTAGAAGTACTGCAGAAAGCAGGACTACCAGAACTTTCCTGGAAAGAAGAGGGTAGAAGCTTGACTACAACTATTACAGAGGGGGAGTCATTCCCTGTTTCTGATTGTAGTGACATTGGTCATGCAGCTCTTGGCAAGCCATATAACAGCACCTGAGAGCCGAACACATACTGCTTCATTTCCATCAGCTGGATCTAGTGTGTTTGTCCTATTGGTAAACAAAATTTAACAGTGTCTTTCATAAGAGCAGATGTGTTCATGAGCTTCTCAAAGCATTCTTGATAATAACTCAGAAGATTGAAATCTGAAGATTAAATGAGAATTTTTGGCATAAAAATTTCCTGGTGAACTAGACAGAATAGAAGGTTGTTCTGGAGGGTAGTAACTATTTTTCTAAAATATTTTTCTGCAGTTTGGAGGGGGATAAAGAGAATTTATCTGCTAAATGGATGAAGATTCAAATCTACTGAAATTTTTATCTGGTTGCTTTTAGGTTGGTTTGTTTCCCCCTGGGCTGTGTGTCGCTTGAAGACTGTCCAAATTCTTTTCTTAAAAGCTTTTCTAGGCTATTGGTTTAGGGTATGGGGAAAAGACTGAAGATCTTTGAGAACATATTATTTTCTGCTTCTTTCTAACACACTGTGTGCTCCCCAATTCACATTGGGGTAGAGGCCAAGGGATAGATGTCTGAGAGGGCAATATCACAAATGACCACAGAAGATACCATTTCCTTATGTTAAAACTTATTATTTGAAAATTCTGTAACTGAAACGACACTGAGCTTCTGTTATAGTCTCACAGTTTTAAAGATGAGTCATAAAATGTCAGGATGTCCAAAGCTATAGATACAAGCAAAAGGAAATGATGAATGTTTTGACATTATCAACATGCTGGTATTATTCTAGTAATGCAATGCCATAAGTGGAATATACTAGTTTAGCGGAAGCTCGGTAGGTTTATTCACAGAAAAAAAAAAGAATAGTATGAATGTATAGGTCATTTCAAAGTCAGAATTTAAAAAACATTTATTACAAAAATTTCCTTACCCAAATACCGGGAGATAACAAATCCCAATACATAAGGCTGGCTGCTTCAAGTTGCTACAGCAGCAAATAGGGATAAGAAGACCCGTCCCTATTCTGCCACTGATTTCCTTAGTGAGCTATGGCACCTCCAAAACCTGTGCTTACTTTTATTCCCCATCTCCAGAATATTCTATGCACAAATACACGGCCGGGAAATTTAGGTCATACAAAGGGAGTAATTTAGCCCTCTAGCTATCTAAATATCTAACCTCTTAATATCTTTGGCCAGATTCAGAAGAGATGCTGCTTTACCTTTCCCACATGGTAAAAAAAAGAAACAGGCATTAATTTGATGCACAGGGTGTTAGCCTGGCATATGACTTCAAACATATCAGGAAATACATATCGTGGAAGCAGCAACTAAGTTGAGCAATTCTCAGTTTAACATTACCTTTTCTGCACAATAATGATGTGAAGAATAGTCCTCCGGTGTTTTTCTTTATTGGTTCCAGCAATTAAGTGAAACATTGTGTGGTATGTACTGAAGTATGCAGGAATTAGGACACAACTGCCAATCTGTGCTAATTCATTTTCTTACAGTTGTATTTATCTAATTTGGGATGATTTCTTGGGGTCTGTATTTTATGATTATTCTTGTGACTAAACAACACTGGGATGATGCTGAGGCTGGGATAATGCTAGATCCTTCTACCCAACAGTCATAAACAAATAAAATTCATCACAGGTCTATCTATTACATGGTTTCAAGTAACATCCTAAAATCTTCTACTGCAAGTTGCATCTATGCCGGGGCATTTCTTTTGGCAGATTTACCTGAACTGAGCTTAAATCTTAACCTGCCTTTCATCCAGATGAGTGACTCAGCTGAGCATTTCTGGTAAAGAAAAAGGAAATCCAGTGCTTTTCTGACACAAAGAAATATGCCATCTTGGTGTTCGACTACATAATCCTTTTGTCTGAAAACAAGAGCCCAAGTATATTTCAGAAAGATCATATTTTTCATTTGGCTTATGGAACCCTTATAAACTAGGACTCCTAACTGTGATTCCCAAACACAAAACAAAGTCAAAGGTTACAGCATATGTTTTTGTTTCAGCCTCTCCAAATTACTTGCAAATGTATTCAAACACAATATGAAGAGATACTTTATTTTATTGAAAATAACAGACTACAGGGTGCTGCAAAAAAGGCTGAGGTACCTCAAGCATAAACATGGAAAGAATACATTGGTTTAGAAACCCATAAATCCTTATTTGAATCTGCCAACCTGAAAGCCAAGTAAAGCCCGAAAAAACTATTTTTCCTAAATGCTATGTCTGATTAAGCCATACTATTAAATGACAGCTGAACTTTAACATTAATATGATATTATTTAAATAACTGCATGATTTTTTTTCACACTAAAATGATGAATGATTTTTGGACAGCTCAATTGACATAAAGCAAGAAACCCCTTTAATGAGATTTGACAAAATGGAGACATATGCAGAATATTCGTTACAGCTCATGTCGCAGAGCCCTTCCTGGGGAGACTTGGGTTTGGTTGTGTCTTTTCTCTCGTTCATTTTTTTTATAGTTTATTTTGATTGTCTACAGGCACTGAACCATCCCTTTCAATTGCCACTTCCTTTCTCCATGGATTTTGAATTTAGCTTGTGTCATTTACATATTACTCTTAATCAGAGAATTTTATATGTTACAGTTTGGAGTTGGAATTGTAAGAAATCTGTGGAATGAAGGCGTGAGGTTCAGTCATTTTAACCTTTGTCAACTGGGTATACAAGGAACTAACAAAGATATTTTTCTGAGGAGACTTATGAGGAGGTAAACCTTGCACTACAGGACAACTTATTAAATTCTGGTTTGATATTTTCCAAGCCAAGTGACAAATCAACAACTCTGCCAAAACTTTCTCCTTTTTTTTCCCCCCTTTTTTTTTAATAAGCAAATTGCATTAAGCAAATATGCAACATAAAAGCCCATGGCAAGGGTAATTTCATACTGAACACTTCAGGGGATCCTCTAAACTCCTTTAAAACTGCGTTTTCATAACAGCCAGCACCACCTATTAGAGGGATGCTTTTCTTCTTCAGGAAGCTGAATATATACAGAAATGAGAGCATCACAGAGAAGCTCAGGTGTTGTTTCCTTCAGTAAAGAACACATATCCAGAGATGCCACTAATTCCAAATACCTGTCTGGGAAGGTACCAACGTAAATTAAAGTGGCTAGTAATCACTGGGTAACTCCCTCCTTGCAGTCCCACATAGATTTTTTAGGATGTTGACAATTTTTCCATTCTGTATTACCTCACTTTGATCCCAGGGACAATTTTCATAACATTGAAAGCATGGAAGAAACATGCTAAAACCACAAGGATTGACAATGTGTTCACCTCATCTATTCAGAGAGAATTGATCATCTTAACCTTTTATCTGTGTGTAAATTCACGCTGCCCTAAAACATTTCCAAACTTTCTCACATAAAATCTAGCAGGTAAAAAACCCTCAAAACACCAAAATCACTCAAGAATAAGGAACACAGGAAATCATCATCAAAAAGCTTAATTTTAGAACACGTGTACAAAAAAACCCAAATACAAAGAAACAAAGATGAGAAATGATTGAGCAAGGGGTAATCCCTCAGGCTACAGAAAACTCTTTCTATCGCTGTGACAAAGCCTTCTATGTAACCATGCCTGCTGCACTACCAGCATTCATTTGAAGACATTCTACATAGCAGGCTGTGGAAAAAAAGGCAGGTAAGTCAGCAAAATGCTGAGGTTGAATTAAAACTAAAAATAAAGGCACAGAGGGAGAGAGGAAAGAAAGAGCAGAAGCGTCCCTACCTTGGCCTTACCTTCGCAACATTCCCGTCAAAATCCTGGAACTCTTCCCCAGGTTTGCATCTGTTTCTCTAAGCTGGGGAGAAAAGAGTCCCGTTAAAGGCAAAAGGCACAGGTACTCCTTTCTGTACAAAGGACAGATTTTTCTACTGCCGTTTGAGTCAATCAACTTCAGTTTTAGCCCACAACAAACTCACATGAAAAAGGACACTGAAGCTCTGAAATTTAAAAATGTTTTGTCTGGTTTTCACTTACATAAAGATGAAACCTATGGAAGATAAGACACTGGGGCAACTAAGATGAACTAGGATAAAGAGCAAAAGCTTTACAAATAAAGGGTTGCAGGTAGAAGCTATATAAATTGGTATCTTTAATTCCCATTGACGTGTGTATGTGTATTGGTTATATATATTAGTGAGGGCATCAAGGGATGAAGAGACAGCCATGCGCTGTGTTCCTGATGCTTTATGCAACGGAAAACAAACATCTCTTTCTTCCACTGTTTTTCAAAGACAGTAGTTTAAGGAAAAAGCAGAAACACAAAACTGTGTCCTTTTACCGATTCTGTGTAAAAGAAATATGCCTATACTGCCCCTTAAATACAAAACTTGTACTGATCTTACAGCAGCCACCACTGGGATGGACACTCAAATACTTTGTGACGTCGCTGATGAAAATGTTGAGACAATGCTGATCTTCTGATCGACTCTTACATCAGTATACAGTATGTACATAAGACACAGCTGTATAATACATACTTTTGCATGTAAGGATCACTCACTCACTGAAAATAGTATTTTTGTAGTTTATTAGGACACAAGAAACCTACATTTACAGCTAAACTTAATTACCTGACTGGTTCTACAGCTCTCAAAAATTTTGCAAAATAGGTAAAAGCACAACTAATTGAATAAAAAATGAAATTGGGGAGATGAAGAGAAAAGTTATGAAGCACATGAACTCCATATTAAAAAAGAGCAATTGCTTCTGTTGTTCTTTAAAAGGTATTAAAACCTTGCCTCTATTTTTGTATTTATTAGTGTCCCACAAATGGAAGTCCAGAAATGAAGATGTGTATAGGAAGAACCAAGTTACTGCCCCATTGCCTCTTTTGCTACTGGTAGCTACAGGACAGACAGACGTCTTTGGACTTTTTAGAGATCATTGGACTTCAGAGATCCCACTGGAAGCAGTGGGAGATCAAAATCTACTGTAAATGATAATGTAATGATTGTCAGTTCTGAAATAGCGGGGACCACTGTTTCTAACATGCCCCGAAACACAGCTGTGTGTACATACATAAAAACATTCTGCTCCTTATGAAAGCTGAATATTTACCTCTTCATTACCAAATCAGATTGAAAGGATTACCTGACTCATTGACTTCTCACTAAAGAAACTTTGTTGTAGAAGACAAAATGCATCCTGTGTTATAAATCCATCAAAACAGTAACACTGCCAAGAAAAGCGGCAGTCTTCCAATAACAAATCACCTTCGCCGTAACAAACCACTGTTATATCTTGAATACATGCACAGCAGCAATATTAAAACCAATTTCTATTCTGGAGCCCAATATTGTAAATATTTGCTACCATATTTAGTGCTTATTACTGAAATAAGTAATTGCAATCGACGACACATAACCTTTTTTGCATAAAATTCCTCCTTGTTCTTGTAAAAGGTATTAAGAAAATACCAAGTAGAGGCTGGGGCTGGATAACACCAACCAAGACTTGCTCTTCATTCCATGGGAAGGCTTGCTCTGACTCTCAGATGTCTGTAATTATGTGCCATGATGGAACAAAAGATGAGCATTATATTCCAGGGAGGCCATTCCCTCGTTTTTTCCTGATTCATCGAGACAATTCAAGCTCCAGAAAAGCAGTTTAGCCCAGTTTGACACAAGCAACAGAAGAAAAAACGTCACAATAATTTTTAAAAGGCTCATTAAAAAGCTGAGTTCTTATCTATGCTAGAAGGGAATCTGAAGTACAAATGTATGCTTTACATTGGTCTTTTATTATTCATAAAGATGCATTTAACACTCGGGGCTTCTCCTCCCTTTTCAGAGAAAAGTAGCTCTCTCCTTTTTACCATTAGATGTTTGATCCTAACTTCCCCCTCTTGCTGCAGGATTCTACCTGACAGCCAGAATCAGTACTGATAGTTCGGAAGAGGACGCTGAATCTTAGAGGTTTGACAAACCCCTCTAAGCAAGACGACCTCATATTTTTATGATAATAAAAACCCCCACAAAATAAGCAAAAGAAATGTTAAGAAAGAAACAAACACATACACACATAGTTGGAAGATCTCTAGCTACCTCCCAAGAGAACACTAAAAAACCACCTTTTCTTCCTGCATTGGCAGAAAAAAAAAACAACATAAAGAATTTCAAACTGTAAGTTTGTTTTTATTTAAAACTGAAATATCTGATGGTAGTTCTTCCATCATTTCTTTACCAGTACCAGCGCACTGCAGAAACCAAAGAACTGGTGGCATACAAACCTGTTAAATGGCATATGATGGCACTTTGTTTCACAGAACTGCTGTAGTGAAAATATATTGAAAGATTCTTTGATATCGGCAATGGCAAATCTACACAGTGTTTAAGAAAACTTTTAAAAAATATTATTGAGAATAATACTGAGAAAGGATGGAAGAGGGACAAGATGCTGATGTTGATATCTCGTCTGCCTTACACACATTTTAATTTGAGATTTTCCTAAAAAATGTTGCATCTTTTAGAGTCCTTTATACTCCAGTCAACCTATATGATTCTTGTAGCAGAGCTTTTATCTCTTCGTTTTGGCTTAAAAAAAAGTAGCTTAGGTAATTCCTCTTCACAACTGTTATTACACATGTATTTTGCACTGCATGTCATCTTCATTTATTCAAAATGATACTAGCTACATCTTGCATTTTTCTTCATTCCAACGTTTTATTCTGTAGGCAGGAAAACTCATATGTGTAAATCTAACCAAACTATAAAGACACTTAAATTTTAAATTCTTCATTTAAATTTTGCTCATAAGAAAATCTTCCTAATTTTCACAACACTAAACTGCTAAGAACTGACCATCATACTTAAGTTGATGTTTCAATTTCAGAAGATGAGTTTGTTCCCTAGTTGATAAAATAATAACACCATGTATTCACTGTAAAGCTATTACTCATTGATAGAGCACCCTCTGTCCTGGTCTTTAAAAAACTTCCCCAAAATGGAAAACTTGCCAAGTTATCCAAGACCATCCTTGACTGTACATTTAAGTGTATAGACAGCTGGGACAGAGGTATTCATGTGGAGAATTTTTCTGAATTCCCTAAACAAAACAGTTTAAGTAGCATATGATAAAAACTTGGAATTTGAGTTCTTCCCTTTATGGCAAGGGTCTCCCTCTGAACTATTTCCTAGAATACCCTTATTTTTAATCTTGCTCCTTGCAGCTTACAGGTTTTGCCATCAAAGAAATTTGCTCTTCAGGTGGAAAGCACAAAAAAGGAAAAGTTACGCGACAAATGATGTGTATGGAGCCATCAGAAATACACTCCCTCTTTCCCAAGGATTTTTAGGATCAGCAGAAAGGGATACATGTTATTCATCTCCATTGCCTAGGTTTTATTTGTCCAGCTAGAAACCGAAAAGCATTTCAGACTCAGCAGTCACTAGGGATGTGAGCAGCGGAGATGAAACAGGACACAAATAAAGTTGCCTGAACAATACTTGGTAAATGCTCACAATCCTTAGTTACATTTTATGATTTAGTTATACTTAATGTTTTAAAGTAGCCAATTCCCAGGGTTTCAGAAAGCAACCGGTACAGCTGACAGAAAATGCCCCATTAAAGCATGAGGCTTTACCAATCAAAGCTATCCAGGTAAAGTAACTCCCTGGGACAGATAAAGGAGTTTCCTTAAGTGGCATTGGTCAGCTAGAGGCCTGTAGGAGGACTTAGCTTTGGCAAATTTGGACACTCGGGAAAGTATCTGGTCAACGTGTCTTGGACAGAGAATCACAGGTTCAGTCACTCCTGGTTCCGTGAGCAGAAATCAGAACCGGGGAGCCACATTTCTTAGACTGAAGTTCAGAGAAGTTGTATACGTTGGATGGGATGGGCATCTGGGCATCTGCATTAATTCTACAGAGTAGAGTTGATCCCTAAGGAGGCAATATAACCCCAAAAATGACACAGACTTGTTATCTTGACTGCAGTGACAAAGCAGCAGTGTTCTTTCACACAGAGTTGCCCAAGGAGGCAATTATGAGCATTTGCAGCTACAGAGTAAGGTTGATCAACTATTAGGAGCTAAGTCATGATAATGAACTTTGTTTCACTGAAAGTCCTAGAAGTCACTGCAATGGACACCATAACAAAGGACAGAAAACTGACTTGACTGTGATGTCAGTGACAGAACACTTGCTTCCAACAGTGGGTTTGGTGACTTCAGGATGACTCCCTGTAGGAGAGGCTCTGCAGGATTGGGCCCATATAAGACACTTTCTAAGTACTTTGCTGCAGATGGTGATTATCTCTCACAATAGCAGCTGATTTATATAAAACTGATCAATATGCTGGATCATTTTTGCATGCACAGAGAACTAGCCCTAAACAAATAAAATCCGAGACCAGCATTCACTTATTATCAAACTTACCCTCTCCCGAGCACGCTGGATCTTCTCTCTGTCATGGCTGAGGTTTTCCAGCATCTCCTGTCCAATCTGCTCTGCATTAAAAAATCAAAATGTAAATCATGAAAAATATAGCTTGTGACTGTAAGGCCTCAAAATGCCAGGTTAGATTGTAACAACGGCATTTAATACATGTGGTAGCCTAATCACTCCTCCTAACTGCAAAGAGGAAGTCATCATTACAGTAAATTTTAAGTTTTTCAAGCAGTGTAAAACTGAAGAAGAAACAACCAAACCAGAAGCTGTCCCCCTGCAATCTCTCGAGGTTGCCTAGGCCCTGGGAACTGGCCACTGTGAAACAAAGGCAAGAAGACCTTCAGACCTGCTCTAAGTGCTGGATGTTCATACTTCCCACGTGCTCCTCAAGCCCACTACTTGTCTTAGAATGGAAGTTGGGAAGCCTTTGCTAAAACACCAGTCATCCTTACACCTCTAAAGACACTGGGAAGTCATATTAGAAGAAATCCACTGTCTGTGCCTCTCAGAATTTACCATTGATGCTTAAATAAAAGCTATTTCAGGCTAAGCCAAGTTATTGGTGTCTATTTTGCTCAATCATGGACTATTTCTGGCAAGCTTAGAGATACACTGTAATGGATCTCCTGATGTTTTTAATAGCAGACATATACATTAACCTATAGTCATCACCATTTGTTTACACCGAGGTTGTTTGATTCCACAGTTTACGCCGAACCAAAGGTTGTAAAATTATACTGGAGAGGCCACAAGTTATGGTAAAAAGACAACAAAAGGTGCCAAAACTTTACTCTTCAAACAGCTTCAGTCAAATGTTCTTCTTACACTGAAATATTAGCAGCAAGTATAGAGAAGAGATTTTAATCTCCAAAGCTCTATAGAAACATTAAGAAACTCTCTCTGTATTTCCCTGAAGGAGAAAAAGAAGTAAAATCCATCCCATTTTACAGATGGGGAAGCAGCTGTAGCTTGCCTCAGGACACACAGCACATGTGAGACAACCAGCATTTTTCTGCACATTCATTTCGGCTACTTAGCTCGCTTGCCAGGGATATGCACCAAAACTGAGTGAAACAACAAAGACATGATTTTTTTTTTCATAAACAACAAAAATCATGCCTTGCTTTTGTTCTGGTGAATAAGCGGGCTCTTAAAATGTCACTACTGGAGGACCCTCAAGAAAATTCATCATTAAAATTTCACCAATATGTTTGTAGAGCAAACATGACTGTTCTTTTTTTTTTTTTTGTAATAGACACAGTCCATTTTCAGGAAACAATCCAAAGTAGAATCACTGCAAACTTTAAACAAGCAATTTTTTTTTCTAAATCTATTTAACACAAGGTACACACTCTGCCAGATAAAGTCTAAGGAAATTCATTACATATATATTTCTCTATCTGTTGCCAAGTGCAGTACAAGTAAGATAAATATTTCCTCAGATATCTGACCACAAATTGACATCCTCATTATGCTATCTTGTCCCTCTTGGCTTGCTGCTCTTTACTGTTAGCTGTATATACAATGCCTCCCAAAGGTGAAATGTGGTAAGATATGTGGTTATTGAGTTAAAACAGCTGTAAGGTGCAGCACAGCTATACAAATGGTAGCCTAAGAAAGCGATTCAAGAGAGCTTTGCCTATGTTTGCATGTCAAAGGACTTACTGGATGAAACTATACTGAGCCTATTCCTCATCAAAGCACTCAAAATACTGTAATACACAAAAAGATACATGCCTTCAATGTAATCTGGGGGAGAAAAAACAAAGCAAAATCCCTTAAAAATAGAGAGGAAAAAAATCAACACATTACTAACCAAGTAGCATGAGGTGGAATGATAACAAATATTTATTGCTAAAAATTATATGTATGTTTGCACAGACATAAAGGAGTGCGGGGAGCAGATTTTCCTTCAAAGGAATAACTATAAAGTAAATGGCTGAAATGGCTTGGAATTTCACAAAGCTCAAAAGTATCTTTATAGGAAACAGCTCTATTTTTATTACACCAATTTTAAGCAAGTTACTGTGGGTTTGTTTTTTTTTTTTCATCTTCTTCCTGTCACTGGCAAGTTCACACTCTTAGCTTTTTATAATGATTGAGTTTATTTTCCAACCATCAATGTGACAGCAGCATCAACTGTAAGTGAGGGTAAAACACCGTCACTTTGACGAATAGTGTATATTTCTCTCATTGTCGATGACTGAAGACATCAATAAATAAGGAAGGAGAGCATGTCAGCCAGAATATCACAGAATGAATTGTTGATATGACACTTAGGGATTAAACCTTCAGCCATGAAGTTCAACCTAGCAGAGGGGTCTGAGAACCGAGATAGTTGTGTTTCTTCCCAGCAGCCTCTATAGATAAATAATTGGACGGATCATCAATTTTACAGGAGCAACTTTACTCTACATGCACTTTAGTTGATGATCTTTGGCCTTTTTTGGGCTAAAATAACAACATAAGTTGAACAAAGAGACATAACGGAGGTAACATAATCTCACAATAAGTTTGCAAACATAAATTGACACCTTTATCCACAGATCCTCTTCATATCCTTGTTCTACTCAGAAAATTCACTGATGACAGTGAAACTTGATTTTTAGTCGGAAGGTCAAGACAGTCCAAAAAAAATATTAATAAATAAAGAAAATACAGACTTATAAATGACATGAAGTCTGTTCACTTGGTTTGCACCTGAAGGTGCCCAGGGCTGGGAAAAAAAAGGTAACATTAGCCCACAATACAGCTAATTACAAGCTTGTTATCATTGCTATCTGCTTGCTATAATTTTTCAAGTTTCCCCACAACTCCCATGTTTTCCTGCCAGTTAAAACCTTTATCTATGTGACAGATTCATGCTTTTAGTGCAACGGTGCTGTACAGATATTTCCAGACTACTTATAATGCAAATCATTGACGATGCTACTACAGTTATGTGAAAAGGTCAGGTTTCTAAGATATACTGTAGTGCAGATGCATGAATAAAGACCAATACACAAAATGAAGGGTGTTGCATGTTGCCAGTAATGGTGTTATTTCCATAGAATCTTAACGACATCAATTATTTGGGGATTACCTTTTAGTCAGTACGTACGGACACTGTTAGTACAGTGCAGTCCCAAGTCCTACAAAAGACTGCACGGTGCTGCCTCTTCTAACTGAAATTCCCAAAGAGATGCATAAAATTATGTTCTAAAATTACAGCTAAACTATGAGAAGCAGAAGGGTGAATGCATTTACATTGTTATTATCTATGTACTGACAGAGGGCAGGAATAGTCGATATAACAATTATCTCGTTCTTAAACAATGCTGTGATAAACTGAAAAAAAATTCTGAAAAAGTACATAACTTAATATTAACAAGCATCAGTCTTAAAGGGTGAATGATAAAATTCACAGCCCTAAACGTATTCCACCTCGAAGGTGTTTGAACAAGATATGGGAAATCAGTCTCTTCAGTGCTGAACACTTAGACAATGCTATGTTGTGGGTCCAACACAAATGGTGCTTGGTTCAATGAGTCCGTGTTATGAAAAAAAATATTGTTTCTTATGCTGAAATACTGAATCTAATTAGAAGAATGAAGATGCTTTCCCCAACTGAAGAAAAAACAAAACCCCCCAAAACCAACAAAAGCAAACCAAACCTACCCTTCATGTGTGCAAAAACTGGCACGTTTTTCAACTTCTATACTGAGATAAACCCAAAAGATAACGATCACTTCTAGTGATGCTTTACGCTCCTGAATATGTCCTCACTTTGGAATTTGCCTGTAACCTATATGCAGTATTTATTTATATGCACAAATCAAAATTATTTAATATATGTTCCACAAAGCTTGACTTCTAATACCTACACACATATCAAGGACGCAAAATAAGTTGTGCTTGACTGGTTTTTCTTTTCCTCTTTTTTTGCCTCCAGCCTTTTAAGCATTTATTTACTTTATCAGCTAAACTGATTTTGAAAGAGCTTCTTCTAATCACTCAAGTCAATAATACTTTTTTTTCCTTAAGAATGACTAATATATTTACTCAAGAGACAGGAATGATACAGAATGAGCCTCTCCAGGCTTTTAGGTAAATAAACATGCATTTTTATGGATTTAGAAGACAAAGTCCTCATTTTTATTTTCATATGAAAAAAATAAAATAACCCAACATGGCTTATATAGCACTTTTCCTCTCTAAGCGCACCCTCTCAGTGTGTGTGTATAAAAATACATTTCATAAGAGGCAGCAGATATTCTGATATGGTTTAAGGTGTAAAAAGAGCTTAAAACCAACCAAATCATGCAGAGGACACCTGGAAGTATGATTTGCCCAATCTCATCACACGTACAACGCATGCATCTGAGCCATGTAATCAGAGGTGGGAAAGACAAACTGATTTAACTGTGAAAAGCAGATCATGTTAAAAATCAACATGGCTCATCTACAGAATCATGAAACAAACTCAAAAAAACACTGTGTGTTGTGAGAGAAGGAATCAGAGTAGGAATGGAGAGCATTTCCACACTGAGATCCTCAGCCTTCCCTAGTGAATAACACCATTTGGGGAGTGCACTTCTGTGTTGTCTTTGCAGAGCCATCTCATGCTCTGAAGATATAGCAAAAGCTTATGGAAGATTTTTGGAGAACTACACTGACACAGGCAGAAACTTAGTAAAAATATTCAAGGCTGGGACACTTTTGTTCCAAAAGCCACTCTGTTTTGGAAAGGTTGAAAGTTTAGATTTTAGGAGACTAAAAGAGATAAATCATCAACAGCAGTTTCTGGAAAAAAAATGCTAGAAAGCCTTAAATGCTAGCTCTTCAGAGGTGACAGCACATAGATTTACAAACTTGGAAAATATATGTTGCAGGAGTTAGAGGAATTCAAGGTTGAGTCAAATGCATTATACTTCTGACAGCAGAAAGTTAATAAAGGAAGTGATGACATATCTTTAAGTGCAGGGACACAGGTAAAGGTCCTATAAATTTACAAGTTTGCAGTTGATATACATTTACATTGAACAGCCAATATAATTAGAGACAGAAGGATTTAGATCAT